GACGAGGAGGGGAAGGATAAGGAGGAAGAGGACGAGGAGGAGGAGGAGGTGGCGAAGGAAAGGGATCCGTAGCCATTTTGGCTCAAGTAACATCTGTGGACCCCCCCGCGCCCGAGGGGGCGCCCGACGCGCCCGCGGGCTCCACAGGCGGGCGCCCAGCCAGGAGTCTGCATCTCTTCTTTCCCTTGTGGGCCAGCAGGTCTGCAAGGTCACGCCTCACTGTGCACGTCGAGCACGGTGAGGTCTCGCGCGTCTTCTCTTTCCAGTGGGCCATGTCGCGTGGCGCCCCCTGGCGAGACAATCTATCGCGCTGGCGCTGCGAGCCCGGTGGCTGCGGGAAAAATCAGTGGAGCATGCCGGAGTGCAAGCACTGCGGCCGTCACTGGAAGCAAGGGCATGTCAAGCCAGCGGACGACGCCAAGAATGCGGACGCCAACGGCGGCAACGCCAAGTCCAAGGGCAAGGCGAAAGGCCAGTCGTGCGTGGCCGAGGGTGCTCCTCCCGGCGCTCTTCCGTCTGTGGCAGGCCTCGCTGAGTCCGAGGTGCAGCAGTTCACCTTGTTGGCCCGCAAGGCAGGAAACGCACAGCTGGCAAAGCAGTATGAGTTGGCATGGAAGGCTTCGCTCCCACAACCACCTGTCCCGCCAAAGGCCCGCGCTGACAAGGCTGGTCAGGAGATCAAGCGGCTCGAGCAACAGCTCCTCGACCAGCGCGACGCTCTCGAGGCCCTGCAGGCGAACTTCGACGAGCAGCGGACCAAGGTGGAAACGACGCGCACGAAGCTTGCAGTTGGTGACGAGACCTTTTTCCCAAGCCATCAAGGAGCTCCACGCGGCGGTCGCCCCCGCCGAGGAGCCAGGGACAGAGGGGGTGCTTTCGATCAGCCTTGGCCAGCTTCTGGACGGGAAAGCGGTCATCAAGTTCAGCGGTGTGGAGTCTCTCTTCGGTCTGGCCGACATCGACTACGTGGGCGTCGAGGAGTCCGACTTGGAACAGGCCAAGAAGAGGGGGAAAGAGTTGCTGGGCAACCTGTCACGGTCTGCCACGGAGCTGTTCGGCAGGGCCCGAGAGAAGGCCAACTCAGCGAAGGAGCGCCTCCAGGGCAAGAAGCGCAAAACTGACGAGGGCGAGACTGGTCCCACCAGCGCCACCGCAGGCGAGCCTGCCGCAGCGCCAGAGGGCAATCCTCCAGCTGTGGCAGGAGTCATGGGCATGGGCAAGGGCAAGGGCAAAGTCATCGGAGGGCCTGATCCCCGCGCCCGAGCCCAAGGCCTGCTCAAACCTGCGGGAAAGGAGGACAAGCCAGGGTCGTGTTCCTAGTGGCACTGGCGGCCGAGCAGCCTGCGTAGCGCCCGCAGGGGCGCCAGCAGTGGCGCCAAATCAGTCTACATCTGCGGCTGCGACGGCGGCAGCATGTTCAGGGGCTTCCACGACGGCGTCGGGTTCCGCGTCGACGGGCGTGGGCCCCCCAGCTCCAGAGAAGGTGGAGACCTCCCCGAGGAGGTGGCGCCTGCGAGGACTGGGTTCGGAGGAGCCCAGGAACCCGCCTCGGCTGGGAATCGCTGGAGGGGTGGGGGCAGCGCCACAGGAGCTTCACTTTCCGCGGGATCGATCGTCGCCAACAGGGTCACGACGTCCCTGGCGTTCCCCTCTCCTCCTCGCGTTTTGCTCAACCGCGTTTCGAGAATAAGAAGAAAACACAAAAAGAAAGAAATTATAAAAAAAAAAAAAAAAAAAAAAAAAAAAAAAAAAAAAAAAAAAAAAAAAAAAAAAAAAAAAAAAAAAAAAAAAAAAAAAAAAAAAAAAAAAAAAGTCGCGGACCTGAGGGGGAGGTACACAGAGCCGCGCTTCATCCTGTGCGTGGAGGCCGGGGCTCACGTTCTTCTGCCTCATCAGCGCCATGTCAGGGCCCCTCGGGGCCACCTGGGGGCCCTAGGCGCCGTGCCACTGGCGCCGCTCAGCGGCGCCAGCAATCGTCCCGGCTTCAGTTGCCGCAGCCCCCTTCCGAGAGAGCCCCTTGTACAGGCCCCAGGTAGGTCCTCTCGCGGTCGCCAGCGCAGAGCCCGACGTCTCCTAGTGGAGACGTGCAATACGGCATCCTGGGGATCGTTATTGCCGTGCCTTGCGAAGGAGACGGAGGCCTCAGTGGTGTTCCTCCGGGAGGTCGGGGTGCTATGTGACTCTGTGCAGGCTAAGGAGGACTCCTTACAGAAGCTAGGTTGGGACGTCGCGCTGAACGCCTCGGTGGCCACAGAGGCTGGCGGAGTATCATCAGGAGCGGGGGTTGCTGTGCGCAGGCATATTGGCACGGGGAAGCCCCCCAATGTCACGCGTGCACTGTCCAGCCCCCATCGGACCAAGGTGACTTACATTCACGCGTTCATCGAAGGCGGTTTCTTGGGAGTCACTGTGTACCTGGACGAGAAGGACCCCCTGGGGCCAGAAGGGAGTCAGATCCTAGCGCGTCTTGGGGAATACCTCTTTGGCATGGGCATCCCTTTCGTTATGGGCGCTGGCTGGAACTGCACTCCAGCGCAGCTTTCGGATGGGGGTTGGCCTGAGCGTCTTGGAGGCTGTATCGTTTCGACTTCGGAGCCAACGTGCCGCTCGACGGGGAAGTCTTGGCGTCGCATTGCTTTCTTCATCATCACTGGGGCTCTGCAGAAGGTCGTCGAAGGAATTGCAGAGAAACGAGGACTCAGGTATCAAGACGCACTGGCCTATCGCCCTCACTTTGTCAGGCCAGCCGCTGGACTCGAAAGTTCGGGTGCTGCGTAGGCCGCGTGCCTTCCCTCGCGATCTCCCAGTCGGCCCAGCACCAGAGCCGCCAGACTGGTCAGAGCTTATCTCTGCTGCCAGCGCGCGCGGCTCCCAGCAGAAGTTAGACGCTACCTGTTTGGCCTTCTTCCAGAAGATGGAGGATGAACTGTTGGAGGCTCACGCCATCGACCCGCTCGAGCGCCCCAAGTGCCGCGGACGAGGCCAGCCTCCCAACTTTGCGCGGGCGCCTGCTCTTCGGGTTGCAGGGGGCGCTTATCCCGCGGGGTCCGCTGAGTCCAGGGGCTGGAGGCAGGTCGCAAATTGGGCTCTCGAGCTCTACCAGATCTCTAAGAAAGGTGCTTCTTGGGGCGACGGGGAATGCGTGAGACTGATCAACAGGCTTACCGAGGGACCTGCAAGGCTGCTCAACTGTAAAGAGTGGGAAGGTTGGCTGCCACCGCTCGACACTCTGTTCCTGCACACTACAAAGGAGTGGCACGACGTGCTTGCGCGGGCCACCAAGCTCGCCACGAAGTGCGAGTCGCGCTTCAAGAGCGAGCGTGGAGCCAGGTGGCGGCAGTGGGTAGCCGAAGCCGTCAGCCAGGAAGGGGGGAACGCCCGCAAGTACTCCAAGCCCGCTGTCGGCTGGAACTCCAGCGTCAGCCTCGAAGGGCCCCCCCCGCCAGGGCCTCAGCAGTAGGTGGATGAGCTGCTCAATTTCTGGATCCAGGTCTGGGCCCCCGCCCTAAGGCTGGCCAGTTCCCAGACCCTCTCCCGTTTCTGAACCAGAAACTTCAGGAGCAGGCCCAGGAAAGAGGACTGGAAGTCGCCGATCTTTGCCCAGCTCCCCGACAGCCAGCCGAGATACGAGCAGCTGCAAAGAGTTTCAAGTCCTCCACTGCCATGTGGGCCGACATGCTCCACCTCCGCGGGTTCGGCAACCTCTCTGATGGGGCTCTGGAGTGTCTGGGGCTCCTCTGGCACTGGCAGGAGGTCGACGGGTTTCTGAGTTCCTGTATCTCCCTGGTTCTCTTGGCGCAGTTGTTGAAACCTCAGGGGGGCTATCGGCCCATCGGTATCATGACTGCTGTGTCGAGGGTCTTCGGGAAGATCAATAGAGCTGAAGCGGTGTCTTGGGAACGGGACCGCTACAGAGACTACCGGTGTCCAAGGGCGCGTTTGTGAGCAGGCCGTCTGGGAGCAGTCGCTGTCTGTCGAGTATGTCAACCTCCAGGGAGGCACCACGGGGATATCCCTCATGGATCTCACCAAGGCCTATGAGAAGGTATGTCATTACCCCCTGATCGAGGCAGCGGTGATGTGGAACTTCCCGTTGTACAGGCTGCGCGTGCGTCTGCAGCAATACCGTGGCCCTCGTGCGCTGAGCCTGGCAGGCGTTTGCTCCATGGTCACGCAGGTTCACCAGTCAATGCTTGCAGGTTGCCCCTTCGCCACCAGCCTCCTGAGGTTGTTTCGCATGGCCCCCCTGGGCTCTATGGTTGAAAAGTGGCCGACAGTCTTCCCCTTCAACGTAGTTGACGATATCACGCTGTTCATGTCAGGCTCCGCGAAGTTTGCGCAGGTGGGCCTTGGCAACGCGACAGCCCACCTCTGCGAGATTTTGGAAGAGCTCTGCCCGGTCATATCTGAATCTAAGGGAAAAATCGTCTCGCTCTGCAAGGAGGTGGCCCGAGGTGTGGCCAAGCGCCTTGAACGCTGGGGTTTTCAGGCCGTCGATGCCGCTCGGAATCCCGGTTGCGATTTCGGAATGAGGCCCAAGGGGCTGAAGTCCAAGAAGGTGCTCAACGCCAGATTCGGCCAGATCAGAGCTAGGCTTGCGAAATTCCGAAGTTTGAGGAGCTCGTTCCACGGCCTGATGAAGGTCGTCCGTAGTGGTGCGCTCCCAGCAGGGCTGCACGGTACGTGTGTCAGAGGCATAACGGGCAGTCGCATCAAGGGGCTGCGAGCGGCCCTGGCATATGCTTCGCTCGGTACTGCCAAGGGACGAAGCCGTACGTTGGAGTTCATGCTATCCAGTAACCCAGCCTCAGACCCAGGGCTTCAGGCCAATATTTTGCCGCTGATAGCCTGGAGCCGCGCAGCTCGTGAAGGATGGGCTGATGCGGAGACAATGCGCGCGTGTTTTTTCGGCGGCCCAGACGGCCCCATCCTTCGCCTGGCACGATGTCCGTGGGCCTGCTGGGGCCGTCGCGCTTGCCCTGAAGCGGCTGGGGCGGGAGGCCCCCAGTTGGCACCAGTGGCTCACCAGAGGCAAGAAGGAGGTGGACGTCTTGGATATTGGGAAGAGGTCTCTCACCAAGCTCATCCAGCAGGACGCCTGGGACTCCATGGGGTTCAGAGTGGGCAGTAAAGTCTGGGGCGCGGTGGGAGCCCCCCCCCTCATCAAGCCCCTGGCCTCGCTGATCACGGAGTTCAGGCGTGGAGGGGCCCAGGGGGACCTCAAGGCCAGGCTGTTATCGGGACTAGTGGCTGGAGGTTACCCGACCCAACGCGCTCTGTATCTCGACGGGCGCGCGATCCGACCTGACTGCCAGCGGTGCAAGGTGGCAGCAGGAACCCCGACCCGCCGGCTTTATCGCTGCATGGGCACATACTTGCTGCGCCAGAGCATGGATGTCGACGATGCGGTCACCCAGGCCAACGCAGCATGAGCTGACCCCATATTTTACGGTAGGTGTCTGGTGTGCACCCCAGAGGCAGGCTGGCCATGTGGGCTCCAGGCGCCAGCCATCCAGCGGGAGAAGTACCAGCAAAATGGCGTGTTTCAGGTGCGCATGTGCATCGATGGCTCGGCGATCGACCCCGAGCTGCCCTTCGCTCGGGCAGGATGGGCGGTCGTCGGCATGGCCAGCGACACGTGTGACATCACCGGCTCTTGCTACGGGCCCCCCCCCCACCCCGTCCAGGAGGCAGGAGGAGGGGAGATTTATGCTCTTCGGATGGCCTTCCAGATGTGCGGTGCTGGCCCTGTCGCTGTTGTCACGGACTGCAAGCTTGTCATCGATGTGCGGGAGCGAGGGCCGCAGCATAATCTCGAGCGCCTGGCCTTCAGCGAGCTGTGGTCCCGCATCTTCCAGAACGGCGAGGACATACGACGGGAGAACAGAATCCTCATAAAAAGTAATTCCCACCCCAGCTTGATCAAGGCCCTCGAGAGGGGTCACCCGATCTGGGCCTGGAAGGGAAAAAGGGAGGCGGACAG